GAGCCTCAAATCTTTAAAGGGAATCACTTGAGCCCAAGAGTTTGAGGTTGTTGTGAGCAGGTGAAGGGCCTCTGTCCGGCCTGCTCCCTCTAGCCTGGGTAAAGAAGTTAAGCAAGGAGCTTCTGCCACCTGGTGGCTGAAGTAGAAATGGCAGGTGGCCCGGTGGACATTTATGCTTTGCCTCCCTCCTTGCCGAGGGCTCCGCTCCAACCGCCTGGAGACAGGGCTGGCCTCTTAAGCTTCCATCTCAATCCTGGGTTCTTATTAGGTTGCCATGAGCCCCTGACCCCATCGCTGTGCTATCTTCCACTCCTGCTGTGAGGATCCAGTCTGCCATCACTCCCCAAATAGAATTCCTCTGCCACTGAGTGACCCCCAGATCCAGCCTCTAGCTTCTGAAGGACTGGAACTGTCTCTAGGCAGGGGCTGGACTCCTCGCTCAGGTTAGGGGCTCCCTGACATGGATAGTACAGACTCAGGTGCTAAGGGCTTCCCAAAGCCGGTCTCCTTGCTCAGGTCTTGAAAGGTCCCAGCAACCATAGGCAGACCTTGAGGTGGCATGTGCTGGCCAAACCCTTGGCTCCAGTGCTCCTACCTGACCAAGGGCCCAGATCTGATGAGGAAGCCCCCACCCCCAGCCCCACATCCAGACTCTGAGAGGAAGGGGTGGAGGCAGTGAGGCTAGAGGCGTGCATAGAATAAATATAACTTTATTCTTTATCCAGTAGATCTCAGTGGAAAGCCCAACAGTAACAGGTGCACCAGCGGGCTCCAGGGGGCTGAGACCCCGACCCCAGGTCAAGGAGGTTAGGGAAAAGCCAGCTCCCCCAGCTGGGGGTGCAAGGGTGAGGGGAGGAGACCCCCTGTAGGCCCGTCCTGCGGGGCAAAAAGGGGGCTGTGTGGGGCAGGTGGGGGTGGGGGCAGGCCAGGGAAATAGAGGAACTCAGGCCAAGTGCATGTTGGCCTGTGTGTGTGTGTGTGCATGTGTCTGGGGGACCTTTGGGGGTGCTGGTGGCTGAAGCTGGGGGTGGAGCAGCTCAGAGCTCCTTGGTCAGACCCTTCACAGTGGGGGCTGGGGTTCCTGGATGATGTGGCCCTGATGGGATGGCAGCTTGGCCAGGCAGACAGGGTGCAGAAACACATTCCATGCGTTGTGACCATCCCCTCACTTCGACTCTCCCCTGCCCCTCAAGCAAAGGACTGGAGCCATCCCTCCAGGGGCTGCCTGTGGCTGTCCACACCCAGTGGTTGGGGGGGGGTTGCTTCTAGCACAAGGGAGGGGTTGGCAGGCCTTGGAAAATTAGTACTTCACAGTTTTAAAGAGAAAACTGAGGAGGAAAAGGCTGAGGAGGGTAAGGGGGCACAGGGACATGGTGGGAGAGCGGGAGCCCCTCTGAGCCACTCCCCTCCCTCAGGAACCACCCCCTTCAGCTCTGGATCCAGCTCCCCCCAATACACAGCACAAATTCCTTCAGTATAAATGTGCTTAAAATGAAAATTCTTATTAAAAAAATCAAAACCAAAAAAAATTAAAATAAAAACAAAACCAGCAAGAATTAATACCTGGGGGTTGGTACGGCAGGGTATGTACAAGGGGAACCCCCACCCCTAGCCCACCCCTCTGTCACCAACCAAGGCAGGGGGGAGGCTGAGGTTCCCCAGCTGGGGAGCAATGGCTTGTGAGTTCTGAGGACAGGGAGCCAGGTCCGGGCATTTGCTGGTGATGAAGATGTGGCAAGGTGGGCAAAGGGGTATCTTGATGAATGCGAGGCCCCTAGGCCCAACCCTGAGGCCCAGGACCAGGGTCCTCACTCAGTTCACGGCCTTGGCCCCTGACGTCAGCCTAGGCTGTAGGAGCAGGCAGTCCATTGAAGGCCCAGGCCTCCGTCCAGGGAATCACTGCCTCCTTCCTTCCATCCCCAGGAAAGGTCCCCCCTATACTGTCTGGGAAGACAGGTGGGGGCAGAGCTGGCAGGGGTTACATGGTCGGTAGGAAGGCAGAGAAAAGCCGGGGTGTGGGGCGAGGGCTGTGTCCATGTGGCGCAGGCGGTCACGGAGAGTGGGTGGCCGGGCTGCTTCTGTTTGAGCTTGGGCTGAGGCTGGGGCTACAGCTGCCTGGCGCTGGGGCCAGGCCACCCCCGTCCCGTCCCCCACCCCCCGGTTGTCCACTCAGAGTGTCCAGGCCCTCTGAGTTCTCCAGCATTTCCTGGATGAGTGGTGGCATGGAACCTGGGATCTCCATCTTCAGCGTGATCACCCGCTCAGCCCCTGAAGGAAAGGAGTGGGAAGAGGAAGAGGTCAGCCCACTCTCCCCATCCCAGCAAAGCCTGGTTCTAGGAAGGAAAGTCCCTGGGGATGGGAGGATCAATCCTACCAATACATTAGCATTTACCATGCACTGAAACTAGGACTTGGTTCTTTGACATAAGCTGGCTCTTTTTTTCTTTTTTGAGACAGAGTCTCACTCAGTTGCCCTGGATAGAGTACTGTTGTGTCATAGCTCATAGCAACCTCAAACTCTTATGCTCACACAATCCTCCAGACTCAGCCTCCTAAGTAGCTAGAACTCCAGGCACCCACCATAACATCCAGCTAGTTTTTCTATCTTTAGTAGGGATGCTGTCTTGCTCAGGCTGGTCTCAAACTCCTGAGCTCAAGCAAATTACCTGCCTCAGCCTCCCAGAGTGCTAGGATTACATGTGTGAGCCATCATGCCCAGCCCCAAGCCAACTCTCTTAAGTCTTCAAGTCCAAGGGCTTGTGGCAATGGGGAAAGTTCTGAACTCAGGCTGCAGGGTCAGATTGCCTGCATGGGTTTGATATTGGGCCCTTCCTCTCCACTGTGGCTTATCCTACTGATACCTCTGTGAACATGATTCATTTCTCCTACCCTCAGACAGGAAACTGAGGCTCAGATCTCTTGAGTGACTTGCTCAAAGACACACACCCCTGAGGTCTGGTTCCAAAGCTGTGGCCTGAACTGTCAGCTCAAGTGATTGGTGTGTTGCTCTGGCAAAGACATGGGGTACTGGCTTGGATGTGGGGGGCCTGGCCTGGGCCTAGACAGTGGGTCCTGAGCCAGGGCTCAGGGCCTGGCACCCCACCAGTTTCAGAGCCTCACCCTTAGCACTGATGCTCCGCAGGTCTGTGATCTTCATCAGCATCTTGGGGAACATGTGCGGGCGGTTGGGCCTCCGTTTCCGCACGTAGACCTTTAGCGCCTCAAGCAGCGGTTCCTGTAGCATGTCCACCCTGTCAGGCTGCTCCAGGTCCTGCCGGTCTGAGGAAGCAGAGCCACCTCCTGAGCAGCTGCCCCTCCCAAGCTGGGAACACAGTTGCATTCCCAGCCTTGGCCACAAGGAGGCACACCTGTCCAGGCCACAGCTGAGGGCTGTCAGCTGGGTGCCTCCTCACAGGGCAAGGAACACCAGTTTCTAAGCTGCCAGTGGGGACAGAAGCCCTTAAATGTAGGCAAAGATGAACTAGGGTGGGCTTTACCCAAACCCCTCTCTAAAAGCCCAGGTAATGGAACGAAACCCCCAAACGCAGGCTGTGCTGTCCTCAGGCAGAGGAAGGACTCTCAGGCCTCCCATTCCCACCTGCTATTACTCTAGAAACCAGCCTGACATGGCAGAAATCATAATAAAATAATAGAGGCTCGAGAGGCTGAGGCAAGAGAATCGCCTAAGCCCAGGAGTTGTAGGTTGCTGTGAGCTGTGTGACGCCACGGCACTCTACCGAGGGCAATAAAGTGAGATTCTGTCTCTAAAAAAATAAATAAATAAATAAAATAATAGAGGCAACTAACATTTACTGCACATTACCACCTTAATTCTCCCATCAACTTCATGAGTTAGAGGCCATTGTTGGCCCTTACAGACACAGAGGCTCAGAGAGGTTTAGCAACCTGCTCAAGGTTACACAGCTCACCAGAAGTTGAACTTAGGTGGTCTGACCCTCAAGCCCCCACTCAATCCCCTGAACCAGAGCCCAGGCCCCCACTGCTGTTGCCCTGCTATGTGGCTGCAGACCAGATGCTGCCCTCTGGGCCTTGGTTTCCCCCTCTGAGAGCCAGGGGCTGCACCCCCCACCCTGGGCCCAGCCTCAGCCCCAGCCCTGCCCACCTCCACAGATGAGGCAGATGGCACTAAGCAGCCCAGTCTCAGCATCGTCCATCTCCAAGGGCAGCAGCTGGTTGGCGAAGGCAAACACCAAGTCGGTGAGGGGGCCGAAGCCTGCGTTGTGCATCTGGGTCCGATTCAGGGTCAGCCCATCCGAGAAGGTCATTGTATCCTGCTCGGGCGTGTACCGAGTACAGATCCGCAGGATCTGGGTGCACAGGATGCATGAGTTCAGGGAGTAAGCCCCAGACACCCTGAGCACTCCTGCATCAGCATTCCCCCAAGGACCACCTGGCGGGCAGCCAGCAGTGCTGTCTGATAAATTTTCTACAATGATGGAAAGATTCTGTGTGCACCATCTAATATGGTAGCCACTGACCACGTGTGGGTATTGAGAACTTGAAATGTGGCTAATGCAACTGAGAAATTGAATTGAGTTTAATTTTAATTAATTTAAATAGTCACATGTGGTGAGTGGCTACTGTACTGGATGGTGCAGGTCTAGGTCACCCTGCCATCTCAAAGAGGACTTAGAGGAGAACTAGAATTTCTAGGAGACAAGGAACATGGCAGACTTTTGAGTATAGTTCCCAGGATAGGGCACACAATAGGAGCTGAAGAAATGAGTTGTGCTGAACCCTGACCGTGCCTCCTGCACCTGGGGGATGGGGATGGGAGGCTGCCCAGCTGGCAGCACACTTACACCTGCCCCCTTACCCACCTTAGCGTTCAATCAGATACATCATACAAGGAAAGAAGAGCCCAGTTAAATCTCAAGCTCCCCACCCTGCAGTGGCCAAAAGGGAACAGGCAGACTGAGCCTAGTCAAGGATAACAGCCATCACTTTGGCAGTTCCTACCCCTCTCCCTAATCCCCATCCCCTACCTCCTGCATCCTGCCTCCAGCTCATTTCACCCATGGGCTGACCAAATGCCCTGCAGTCCCCCTGAACCCAGCATGGTCTCACAACAGCAGGCTTTTCACCTCCTGCTCCTAAGTTAGAGATACCCTCTCACTCACCCTTTTTCTATAAACCCCGAGGCACCACTTCCTTTGGGATGTCTTCCCTGGGACCCAGGCAGTCAATGGCCCTCCTCCCATCTCCAGCCAACATTTATCACAGTTTTGCAAACTCTGTTGATTTATCTGTTGCCTCCACTACGTGGAAGGTTTTCAAGAGGGGATGGTCTTGTGTTCACCTCTGGGTTCCTGACACCCAGCTCAAGAACTAGCCACAGAGGGTCCTAGGTGAATCTTTATTGCAGAATAAATGGATACATGGATGGGTGGCTGGTTAGAAATTCACTGGGCAGATGGAGAAAGGGTGGATGACCCATGTTCAGGAGAACGAGTGAATCATGCACACCTGGCTGCTGAGTGGCACAGTGGACAGGTAGACAAGTGGACAGGTGGACAAGTGGACATATGGGGAAGGGAAGGGTGGCTATGTGGGCAGTGGACATTTGGACAGATCAATTCCAGGTGGTCATTTAGGAGGGTGGCTATGTGGCTGGAAAGACATCCACCAAGGACACAGGGGTAGTGCCCAGGGGGCAGGGTGCAGACCCTCACCAGGATGTCCAGGCAGGCAGCCTTGAGGAGGGTGATCTGATCAGCAATGGTGAGGGTGGTGAAGCCGGGCAGTTGCTTGGCAAACTCCACAGTCTTAATGATGCACTTGGTGGAGAGTTCACTGAACTTGTCCCAGAGGTCAATGTCCAAAGAGACACGTTGTTCTGAACTGTTGTTCTGAGGGAGGGAGGAGAGTGAGGGCCTTCTCCTCCGCAGCACCCCTTCTCAGCCTGGCTCTGCCAGCCCCCACAAGCCTGCCCTCTAGCCGGCCTTCACTTCCTGAGAGCTCCTTGGGAGGAGGAAATAGGAGGAGGGAGATGAAGGGAAAGGGAAGGATGCGGACGCCCAGCCGAGGCTGAGGAGGGAACGCCTGGCAGAAGGGGTGTCTCGGAAGGGGCTTATCCTGGCCCTGTGGCATTGGGCACATCCCCCTATTCGGCAGGGGGAAGCCTTACCGTAGTGTATTTGCCCAGCTGGCAGAGGGCAGGGAAGGTCTCCTGGTGTGCTTTGCGCACCTTCTCGATGAGCTCCCCCACCTCCGGTGTCAGTGTGTAGCTCTCAGAGCACTCGGGCTTGGGCACCTCCTTCTTCTTCTTGTTTCGGTCGTTCCTCACAGCTGGGGGAGACAGAAAGGCAGTTAGTGGGCAGCTCTCTGTCCATCCCCAGCCTGAGCTCTTCCCACCAGAGAGCTGCCAGCTACTAGCTACTAAGATGGTCACCCCAGCTGGTAAGCACATGCGTGCACACATACACACATATGCAGGAGCAGACAGGACGCAGCCACATGTTCCAGCCCTCCATGCCTACCCAGCCCACACACAAAGTTCTGCCTAGAGGACCCATGACCACAGCTGTGGCCTGGCACACACCCCAGTGGCCAGCTGTAGTGCCGCCCCCCACGCATCTACACTAGCCCATACTCCAGGTGTGTGACACTCTCCTTTGTGCTCTGCCTCCTGCCCCCAAAAAGGACCTGCTCCCACCTCCACTCAGTCATCCAGGCAGCAGTCTCCCTGGGGGTCCCTGGGACTGGCTCTGAGCAACTCCTTGGGCACGCAGGAAGCAGGCTCCCCAGCCAAAGAGTGGGGGACCCGGCAGGGAGAATCTCTCGGCCCATTAGCTGGGGAGCTGACAAATCACCAGGGGCGCTGAGCCGCACACACCACTCAGCTTTAAAGAAGCGATGGGGTCGTTACCAGCCGATTATCCCAGACACACAATCACTCACAGGGCCAGTGGTGGCTGCTGCTGACTCCGGAGGAAGAGAGGGTGGGGGAGGGGACAGGGAAGGGGGTAGCTGGCATAATTTGGAGATCACTCATGTCGATTCTGCAAATTCAATAAAGTGTAGGGGAGAGGAGGGAGAGGGAGAGTGGGGGGATAATTTGGGAAGAGAAAATTGCAGCTGTGACAAGACGTTTATCATTCGGAAGCTTTAATTCTATTGAAATGGCAGCTGCTCAGCTCCAGGGCACAGAGGAGCCAGGGGAAGGGGAGCTGGCGGTGGGAGGGAGTGGAGGTCCCCACCCTTGTCTTTCTGACAGAGAAGGTGGCACTAACAGAGGGAGGAGGAGGGGACAGCCCTTACGCAAAGGGTTCCAGGCCTGTGGGTCCTAAGTTGCCACTCACTCTGCAGTGGGGAGCCACCACTTTCTGGGCTCAGGGCAAGGCACCTTCCAACCTCCTGCAGCAGGATACTCAGAGCCCTTCCATTCCTTTCTGAGGCTCTTCAAGCATGAGTCAGAACCATCACTCCCCCATGCTCCCTCCTCACAAAGGGCTGGGGGGGTCCTGCAGCCCCCTCCCCCATCCCATCCCCCAAAGCTCAGGCTCCATGGCAACGGCCATGCAGACAAGGAGGCGTCTGTCAGCGTCATTTATCTCTGACATCATCAATCACTGGTCACCACGGCAACACCCATGATTCAACACAAGAGGGTCTCCCTGTCCAGCTTTTCCCTCCCTTCCTTCCTCAGGCCTCAGCTGAGCCCAAACTGGAAACCCCCATTCTTGTGGGATCTGAGAAGTCTCAATTCACTCTTTCAACTCCCGGTTCTAGGCTTAACCAGAAAATGGCTCTGGATCCTTGTGCCAGCACCCCAGCTCTCTAACACATATAAATCCCAACCTAGGACCCCAGAATTCAGACCCCTCCCCTGAGACACACAATCAGAAGGGGCTCAAGTATGCCTCTGAGCCCCAGCCCTGAGCCACCCAGGATCTGGCAGAAAGCCATCCTGGGAGGAGATAGACATGCACACATGTGCAAGCTCACACAGCCAGACAAGCATAAACAGGAACACCTATGCATGCACCATACCTGAGCATCGATCTGCACACCACAGACATGGCCAGACAGGTCCCTGCAGCCATGCACAAATCACCTTAACTATGAGCCTGCACACCACAGCAGGCATGCTCACGTGTGTGCACACATCCACCAAGCCCTGCTCCCTGGGCCATGGGAGCACCTCTGGCCCCACAGCACTCACACTCCTTGGACATGCCCACTTCAAAGCACTTCTGCAGCCGGCAATACTGGCAGCGATTCCGGGTCACTTTGTTGATGATGCAGTTCTTGTCCCGGTGACACGTGTACACCATGTTCTTCTGGATGCTGCGGCGGAAGAAGCCCTGGGAATAGAGGGGAGGGAGTCAGGTCATCCACACCCAGTGGTCCCACTTAGTAGGGAGAGGGCCAGGCCAGCTGCTGCCCCCAAGTCTTTACCCAACACCAACCTAAGTAGGCCAGAAAAGATGGAGGAGAACCCCAGCACCCGCCTCAAGGCTGCAAGACTGCAGGGGGGACGGGAGTCTTCTCCTACCCTACACCCATACACCTAACTCCTCTGTTCTAGGGAAAAGGACCTGAGGGCTGGTCGTAAATCAGGAGTAGGAAGGTATGGGGCTACACAGGAGAGAGCCAAAGGCTTAGAACCTACAGCCTTGAACTTGGAACACAGGAAGAGAAGGCAAGCAGGAGGCCAAGAAGACAGACACACAAGCTGGCCAGAGAGATGGAGGTGCACATGTACACTCACAAAAACTTGGGCAAGGAAGAAAGACACACATTCAGCAACCAGACAGATGTGCACTGACAGATCCCAGGGACAGAGCCAGGCTGGTCAGGGGCTCTTCATACAGGCTAACCAGAGATACAGGCAGGAACAGCCAGACAGGATAGACAGACAGTCTGGGGCCTTGTGGTTTGCCCTTGACCTTTGTCCCACACCTGGGGATAGCCACTCTAGGCTAAGAGGCAACCCAGAGCCCCAAGTCCCAAAGCTGTGCCTCTTCTGAGCCCCAATTGCTAAAGGAAGAAACCACTGCAGAGGCCTAAGCCCTTGGGGTGGAGGAGAAGCCAGGCCCAGAGCTGCTGAGGAGGTATAGCTCTATCTGCACCCTGGAGCCTAACCTAAGGGTGAGGGAATCCAGCCAGACATTGGGGAGCCCACAGCCTGAGCACCTGAAGGGGAGGCCAAGGCAGGGTGCCTGCCCCTAACTGCCTCCTGCCAGGGTGCCATGGTGAGGTTCAGGTAGGACCGCCAGGGGCAGGCCTCCTGGGTCCCCAGCCAAGAGCCAGCAGCAGCCAGCTCACCATGGCAACCTGGGCAGTGGTGGCAGAGTAGGTGTAGGCCCTGCCAGCTGGAGGATGGAGACAGGGAAAGGAGATGAGGCAGAAGGGCACCTCTGGTTTGGGAAAGCCCTGCTTATCTATGGGGGAGGTTCTGCTATAGGCATCCCCTCCTCCTCCAAGGTTTCCACACAGAAATAAGAGCAGAAGCATTAGGGACTTCCAGCTACCTCCAACCATATAGTCCCAGGAAATGGAAGTGGGGACATCCCATGTACCCAATCAAGATTGCCTTTCCCAACAACTCCCTCAACTCACCTTGCAACCCTCACAGGCGCTGACCCCATAGTGGTAGCCTGAGGATTTGTCTTGACAGACAAAGCAAGGCTTGTAGATGCGGGGGAGAGGGGGTGGCGAGGGTGGGCTGGGCACTATCTCTTCGGAACTGCTGCTCTGGGTCTCAATAGCTAGAGAAAGAAAAGGGGACGGGAAGTTAGAGACCCAGGTCGCCATCCTTAATACTGTGCCCCGCCCTGCCTCATGGTCTCCCCCAGGAGCCTCTCCCAGCTTCCCCCTGGCTGGCAGGATTCAAACTGTGAAGCAGTGGTGTCTCAGAAAAGCAGGGACTCCCCACCCAGACTAGGGAGGGCCAGGCTGCCAATGGAGCCGGAAGCACCCCAGCACTCTTGTCTCTCCAAGACCCCCACTTTCAAAGCCAAAAAGACCAGACTATACGCCATCAGATTTGTACATATGCCATGACTATACCTAGGGAGTTTGGGGTGGGAGTCAGCTTGATTCTAAAGCCCTGCCCCTTGGAGGCTGGGCCCCCATTCTCCCCCAAGTTAAGAAGGAGTTAAGGCTTGAAGAGGAGGGAAGAGGACACAGGCTAGGGGCAGAGGAAACTGGGGTCAACAGGATATTCAAAGCTGGCCACTCCCCCACCACCCTGCTTCCGCTCCCCCTTCTGCCTGCAGCCACAGCCCCTCCTCCACCTAAACAATCCCCTGGCTGGGGACCCAAGGCAGGGTGTGTAAAGAAGAGTCACAAATGTTGGGGCACAGCAGGCAAGAACTCCCTGGGATAGGTAGAGGGACCCTCTGGACACAAAAAGGAGAGCCTCCAGGGCCCCAGAAGCCCATCATTCTGGGCACCCCTGTCTGGAGGGGGACAGCATGACAAAGGGGGGTCTGTTCCCATCAATACTCTGTCTGTCTGTCCTCAACACTATGTCCGGGTTACTATCCCCTCCCCCTGCTATTCAGTTCCAAGAGGGCAGCCAGGAGGGGTGACCCAGCTACAGGGGCAACCCCTATTGCCCAAAACCTCCCCAGGGCCTGGCTCCATGCCCATCACCCCAAGGGTATAGGGCCAGGCTGGGTGGGAGCTGTCTGTGCTCAAAGCCTGCACAGCTGGGGGTGTAGGGTGCTAGATAAGAACTCTGACCAAGGCAAACCCAAATTCCCAAGGAGCCATATGGCATCTTGCAGAGCTCTTACCACGTTCACTCCACCTCAGAATCCTACTTCACCCTACCCCAACTCCAGCATGTGAGGTTCTGGCATTTTCCTGACCCAAGTACCTTACAGCTATGGGTCACATGGCCTCCACGTCCAGACACAGAGGAAGTTAAGTATGGGCACACTGGGGACGGACGTTGTGCTACCACCCTCCTCCTCACCTGTAGGCACACCAGGGCTGCCAGGTGGCTGATGACAGGGAACCAGGCCAACAACGTTGGCAGGGCTTTCCTGGCTCTTAGTAGGGCCTAGGCACCCTTCCCTGGTCAGCCTAGCTGGCCAGCACTGCTGAGGCCCCATGTCTCCTTCCCTGCCCAGAGATCAGCTTGAAGCAAAGGGACCAGCAATGTCCACACTGCTAACAGTCCAGCAGCCTCTTCACTGACCTCCCCCAAACACAACTGCCCTGGCCAGGCAGAGCATAAGGTGGTTTTTCCCCACCTCATTCTCCCCAGGCCAGACAAGCAAATCAGACAGGCTGAGAAGCCAGAGAACAGCTGCTGGGGGTGGGGGGGGTGGGGATTGAGGGGCCTGGGTGAGGCAGGGAGGCAGAGGGGGACAAGCCGACAAAGGAGCCCTTTGTTGTGCTAACTTTTTCCAAGACGTAAAAGCAGTAACAATAGACAATCCAGACTGGTAGGGGGATGTCAAGGACAAGGGGGTGTGGTAAGGATGGGGGACTTGGGCTGGGCAGTCCAACAAGCAAAGGAAGAAGGCATTGACCTCTCCTTCCCTCCTATCCACCCTTTGCCTCAGGCCCTGCCCCTCCCAAGGCCCCACCTCTAAAATGAACCAGAGTGGAGGGGGAGCCCGGACTGAAGGCACTTTGGGGTACAGAGTGGAGTGGAGGGCAGGTAGATGGGGCATGGGGAGACACAGTGATACCTGGATAAGGGGCAACAGCTCTAAGGCCAGGGATAGAGTAGAGGGGCAAAGACCTACTGAAATTTGGAACCAAGGCAAAATCCAGAGAGTGTTTATAGAACTGAAAAAATGTGCTTTTTAAAATTATATTTTGGCAGGAGAGGAGAGATGACCTGAGGCAAGGGCTCCAGTTTGGGCTGGGTGAGGCCTCCTTTCAGCCCACCCCATAGTGCTGGCTGCCTTTCAGGCTATAACACAGTCTATTCCCCTACCACATCCCTACCTGTCACCCAGGTAACCCAGCTCTGAGGTTTCCTGCTCTGCCCTTTGAACCCAGGGCTTGAGGCCCAATCCCCACCTCTCCAGGCCTCTAGCCAGGAGCCTAGGGGGCTGAGGTAGAAGGACCAAAGCAAAGGCTTGGGGGACTCTAGCCTCTACAAGTTAGGACATACAGGTGGAGGGGGATGGACTGCCCTGGTGCAACCCTCCATAACCTCACCCCAGAGGCCCCAGCCCACAATCTCTCTTCATCCTGCAGGACTCAGGCTACAGAAGGACCACACCTTCTCAGCACAAAGTTCCAGTGCCCGCCTGGTGGAGGGCTGGAACCTGCCCAGGAAGCGAGGGTGCCCCTCCCATGCTCCCCCATCCTGGTCCAGCACGGGTACAAAGAGCATTCTGGATTCCCCACACCCCTGAGCCGTTTGCAGGCTCGCACAAGGGGCCGGTTTCCTGGAGGAGATCAGCAGGAAATCAGCTGGGCCCTGAGCCAGTGCTCCCCTCCCAATCCAGCTGGCGCCCGCTCCTCTGCAGCTCCCCTCACAAACCCTAGGGACCGTTGGGGAAGGGGAGCAAGGCCCTCCATACAGCCCTTCCTCTTCTGAGGTGGTGAAGGTGGCTCTGGGTGTAGGACAGCAGTCTGCAGGTTGTAGAAGACGACCGCTAGACCAGCCGGCCTGATAAGCATCTCTTCCCCTCCCCCCACTATGGGCATCCACGTGCTTCACATTCTTGGACGTCTGGGAGCAGGCGGAGGCGTGAGCAGCAGAGACTGGTGGGGGACAGATGGGGAGCCATATCCTGTGCACCCCTTGTCCTCTAATGCACCAAACAGGGGCTCTGGGAAGGGAGGCATGGTCCCCAGAGCCCTGCAGGACCTAAGAGACCACCTCCTCCCACAGCTAACTGCTCTCTTTCCACCTTGCAGGTGAGGGGGGAGTGGAGAATTTACCAAGAGGGGGCTAGAAGATGGGTACAGTCACCAGAGGACCTCCACACACCAAGGGGTTCTTTCCAAGGTAGTGACATTGGGCCCACATCCTCTAGACATGGTATAGTCACACCCCTCAGACTCCAGGTCCTTCTGTCCATCAGGGCAATCCCCACATCCCTGTCACTTCCAACCTACAGCCTTGGGTTCTGCATCCACTGACATTCCAACATATATACACACCCTCAAGCCTATTTACCAGAAGTGGGAGCTGAGGCCTTTAGGTCTACACTACCCCAGACTGGGTGGGGAATAAGTCTCCACTTCCCCATGTCCAGTGGTTTGGGGCAAGCAATGCACATAAAATCCACTGCCAGTCAGACTCTGATCCTTCTTCCCCTCCAGTTCTGAGCCAAGAAAAGCCCCATGGGCTAAAGAAAAGACAGGACTAGAACCAAGGTCTCAGATCCCAGATTCCCTCCCTCTAGACCTCTGGAGAAAGTGGACAAGGCAGTGGCAGGGGTAACCCTGGCAGCCCTGCCTCAATTAGTCCATTGAAGGGCAGGGGGCTTTTTCCAGCACTGGGAGAATGGGAAAGAGGGTCCTGATGTGACCCTCTTAGTCTCTTTTTTTCCCCAAAGTCAATGGCTGATTGCTCACACCCTCCCTCCCATGTTTGCAGCCGCACACAGATTCAGTCCCAGGGGTAAAGGTCAGGGGACAGGACAATAGGAAAGGCTGGTGTTGAGGCAGCTCTGGGAGGACAGAGGTGGGCTGTCCATCCACCTCAGGTCTCTCTGAGCAAGAAGGGCTTTGGGTGAGGTAAATCCTTTGCCTTTCAAAATCTTCTCCAATCTGCCAGGCTCCTAGAGACCCACTCCACTCTTCTCCCTGGCAGGGAGGAGGAAGGCAGCAGGTCAAGAAGGTGGGAGAACCTCCAGGTAAGAGCAGAGCCCAGAAGTGAGCCACATAGGCAAAGACACCCCAGCCACCCAACAATAACTCCTCAGTGCCTGCTCCCGCCCACCCAGTGTACACTGTCTTACAGCTGGGCACCAATACGCCCAGGTGTGCACCCTGTGTGCTAACAGCACCTAAGTGTGCACAGAGCCCCTCCCTCCCAGAGGACCCTGAATCCAGGCAGGGGGCAACAAGAAAAGGTGACCAGGCTGCTAAGATGCTACAGTTCTTATCAGTACCCCTCTTAGGAAGGGATGGTCCAGGAGCTGGCCCTATCCCCAAGTGAAGGCAGGGTAACAAAAGCACTCAGTGGCAGGGTTGGGAGGGGACATAGTCCTCATTTCCAAAGCAGCCCCAGCCCCACAAAAAACAAACTCATCCCCCAGAGATCAAAACATTAAAATTAGGAGGAGAGGAATTCTTCCCACCAGAGCAACTTCTCTCTTCCATTCCTGGGAACAGAAGCCTCAAAGATGCCTGCCAAGTGTCTGGGGCAGGACAATCCTAAGATGGACCAAGTGCCCCTTCCCATGATATTAAGGGTGGGGTGAGGAAGGCAGCCAGGTATTTGAGGGAATTGCTTCTTTCTACCACATCCCACTGTCAACATTGAAGAACACCCCCCTGGCACCCACTCTAGTGACACAGGGGCTGGGGGCAGGAGCTGGCACACAGAAGGGGTGTCTCTCCCTCAGTCTTTGGTAGGAGTGAGATCTTTGGAGGAGGCCCTTTCTCCTCTGAGCAGAGAAGCCCCCAGACAAGACCTTTACCCCACCCTCCTGCCTGCTGTAAAGCGATTGGATTCCAAGAAGAGACACATTGGGAGTAATGGGCTTGAGCTTCACTTTCCCTGAAGAAGTGGAAGAAGAGATGAAAGGATGATTCCTGAAAGAAGGAACCTCAAAGTCCCTCAGCCCTCATACAACAGAAGCAACACCCAGGGTTACTGGAGGGGAGGCCTTGGTAATTGTCCATCAAAGGCACTCAAGTTGCAGGAAGAGACACGAGGGCTAAACGAAGAGTTAGAGATAAGACCCCCCCCAAGCACGCCCCCCGGGCTCGCATCCCGGGGGTGAGAATAGAAGCCTCACCGCCCACCCTGACCCTTACAACAAGAGGCAGAGGCAGGTACGTACAGTGGTTTGAGCCATTCCAAAGCGGAGTCCGGAGCGGGGTGGAGTAGGGACCCGGGGCGGGTAGCCCCTTTTCCGGGAGCAAACAGGCCCGGTTCTGATTATAAAAATCCACCACTAGGAAGGGGTTAGGGGTGGGGGTGAGTCCCCCCACTTCCACACTCTCGTACATCTTTCCCCGCGAAGGCAAGAAGTCCAGGCGGGGAAGTCCTGAGCGCTGCCCCCTCACTCAGCCGGAGGCGCCATCTGAGTGGAGCAGCTGGGGGCGAGGAGACGTCCCCTCGCTTCGACTGGCACCCAGGGCAGGGGGGTGGTCCCCCTGCCCTGAAGTCCCCGCGTCTAAGTCCGCCGGCCGCTCCGCCAGTCCAGGTGAAAAGCGGGGAAGTTGCGTGTGCTGGGGTGCAGGGTGTCCCTCGGCTTTCCCAAATAACGACTGGCAGGACCCGGGCACTCAGCGCCTTCACCTCGAGGGGGCTCCAGTCTCGAATCTCATGGTGTCGAGGCAGAGTCCGGCGGCTCCCCAAGTCCGGAGGCCGGGGGCGGGATCAGCGCAGGGCGGGGAGGTGGGTCGACTAGCACTTCCTTCTCCCCGCCGGGGCTCCCCGGCTTCTCCCGGGCGAGGATTCCGGGTGGGGGTGGGGACCCCGCGCAGCTCCGCCCCCGCCAGGCCCGGGGCAGAACATTGCTTGCTGGGTCTCCGGTAGTGCGCGCCGCGGCCCCCACCCCCCACCCCCACACTTGCGCGCCCCCCTCCCCTGTGGGTCCCAGCCCCCTTTCTCCACCCCGCCCCGTCCAGGCACCGCCCCTGGCTTAACCCATTCCCCGCGGGTCTGGGCGAAACGCTAGGAACCAAGAGAGAGAAGTGGCATGTGCACAAGCGAGTCGGGGGAGCCTGCGAAAGGGGAGAAAACAGGAGAAGGAAGGAGAAAGGCACCAGAGAAGGACCCCGCAAAGTACAGACCAAGGCAGGGTACGAGGAGAGGAGGGGGCTGCGGGCGCAGGCCAGGACGGAAGAGGGGCGGGCGCCTTCCCCCATCCCAGTTCCGGTTCCCAGCCTCCCCCGTGGTTTGGTCAATCCCTACCCGAGAGAAGCCGCGGCTGGGGGAGGCGTTGAGTCGGGGAGGAGGGGGGTGGTCCCGGTGTCCTCCCCTTAGCACACACCCCCGCCCAGGCCGGACCTCATTTGCCTAATGCAATGCGGCTGAACTCTCTCTGAACTCGCCTGGCGGCGCCTCACCTCCGGGTGACCCACCCACCGCTGCCCGTGACATCACCCGCTCGCCAGCCAGCCCGTGGGGCTCGCCCGCCGGCCCCATGCCCGACCCGGCTGGGCCAGCTCTCACGGACACGCGGAGAGCGGCCGCAGGGAGCGTAGGGCTGGGGCTCGTGTGGCCAAGTGTTAGCGCCACAAATGCGGCGTGCTAGGTGTCCTGGGTGTGACATTGTGCAGCTTGGGCGCTGTGTCGGAATGAGACACCCGGCTTGTGTCATTGTCTGTGACATCATGTGTGACTCCAGCAGCCGGAACCCGACGCGGCAGCGCTGGTGCTGTTGGCACAACACACAAGTAGAGGGGGCTCTCCTCCCCACGCTCCGCGTGCTTCCGGTGAGCAAAGCCCCGCCCAGGGTGTCTCCCAGCTGCGGAACCAGGATCGGCCCCTGCTGTGCAGTCCAGCCCTGGAGAGATCAAAAGAGGGGCTGATGCCTCACAGCTGACCACTTCATCCCGGAAGCCCTCGGGGTTCCTGTTTCATTGGCAGGAAGGCCTAGCTTGGGTAAAAGGTCCCTGGAAAGAGGGGATACCCCTGGACGAGGGGGTATCCTACTCTGCTCTCCAAAAGGTAGGGATGGAAATTTACATGCACAGGCTCTTTTACTGGGCCTATGCAAAGATACTAGGGTTATAAAGTTGGTGAACTCATTCAAGGAACCGAAGGAAGACTAGGATAGAGCAATAAAAGTCAAAAGGGAAAGGTACACAAGCCCGGGCTGGAGAGGTGGACAAAGCCACGCCAGGCAGGTCTCAATAAGGCTTTTGGATTTTATCCTAAATGCAAGGAGAAGCCATAAAAACAGACCAAGCAGGGCAGCGCCTGTGTCTCAAAGGAGTAGGGCACGGCCCCATATGCCAGAGGTGGCGAGGTTCAAACCTAACCCCGGCCAAAAAAAAAAAA